ACTTTTTAAAATCAATTTTGCATGCTTACACCTGGTAATCTAGACAACTAATTTGAAGACATGATGTAATATGACAACCATTGTTGAATTCTTATTATTTTGTTTAGTGAAATTCTGTATCATTCCTAATATCTTTCTTTATTATTTTGTATTCTCTTTAAAAATACAAAGAACATATTGTTCTAAAAGTAAAAAAATAAAAAATAGTTAACTGGGGATATATAAGCACTTATAAACCAACACTTGGTTCTTTGATTCCCAATGCTGAGAATGAAAGATTAGATAAGCTTTCAGAAAAATGATAAAAGTGCAAGTAATGAAATAAGTTAGTATTTCTGAGCAACTTTCCAAGAGCGGAGAAGTTCTCAGTTTAACAGAGGTTGAGATACCAAGTCTGAAGAGTATGCACTCTTTATTTTAAAAATTGAGTATCTAAAGAGAACAGGTCACTTCACTCTGAGCACCATACTTGAAAAGGAGGCTGAAGGTAGTCATTATGTGCATAAAGATGCAGCACAGGTGGAGCAGAAAGTGGATGAAAGAACGTGATAGACCCCATGCCAATAGGGGTGACACATGAGTCTCTTACAAAGAGTCAAAAAGAATGCTAATTCATACCAAAGTGGATCAGTCATCTATCTGATGGGGTCATAGGCAACACTGCTTGATGCCTCCTTCCTAACCTGCCTTGTGTGAAAAATGAGCGACTACATTTCTTTTCTGCAGTTGATGCCCTTTCTCCTTGGTTCATTGTATTTCCTGAAATAACCTCCCTGATTCATTGGAAAGATTTTGTCGTTACAAATATGTCTTTAACTTCTTCTGACCTCCAGATCTAAAAAAAAAAATGAATGCTGGTAGGGTCAATGTTGAGGGAAAGCCATCCATCCTTATTATGTGGCCCTTGCCTAATTTCTTTAATTAAAAACCAGTCAGGAGACTGATTGGAATAAAAGAGAAATGTTATTATGCATTGCCACTATCAGAGCCTGTGTGAAATGATGACTCAATAACTATTATGGAAAATGAATGAACAGATTATCAGACACCCAGTTGCACACATAAGACCTATATCTGCTTGTGAGGCACTAGCAGCGAAGTGCGAGAAACAAGCCAGTAAACATCTGGTATCAATATGATATGATGAATGCTATGGATGTATTGTTAGTAGAATTTGTGGAGTGACAACAAGAGTTCTTTAACCCACCCTGGGAGGGAAGTACATTACTGTCCTATTGCTGTGATAATAGAGTGCCACAAACTCAGTGGTTTAAAAAAACACAAATTTATTCTCATAATGCTACAGGTCAGAAATCTGACATAAATCTCATGGAGCTAAAATCAAGGTGTTAGCTCTACTCTCAGGGGTGTATTCCTTCTTGGAGGGTCTAAGAATCACTTCCTCTTCCTTTTCATCTGCTAGAAGTTTCGCACAATTCTTAGCTCTTGGTTTACTTCTTATATCTTCAAAGTCAGGACATTGCCTCTCTGGGACACTTTGTCTGTGGTCATATCTCCCTCTAAGCGCAACTAGAAAAGCTTCTCTCCATCTAAGGACTCACACAATCAGGGTGGGCCCACCAGAAAAACAGAAGACAGTCTCTGCAACTCGAAGTCATTAACAATTAACCTTTGCAAAATACCCTTTGTAGGGTAGAATAACCTATTCTTAAATTCTATGGATTGAGCTGTGGACGTTTTGGGGAACTACTTTTCTGCCTATCATAGAAGTCTGAAAGAAAATGAAGAAAAGCCTCCTAAAAAGGAGTGATGCTTGATCTGGCATCCTCTACACTGGCATTATCAAGGTGGATAGGGGAAGGGGAGAGACACAGGGAAAGAGTTATAGCTTAGATAAAAAACCTCACATCAGATCTGGGAATGTGTGCTGGGGCCAGAACATAGATTCAAGACGTATTAGGGCTAAAATTGGTATTTCCTTGGTATTTCAAAAGGTATATTGGTAAGTCCTGTTCTTCGTTGAAGTAGTCAAGACTTCTGCTATTATTAACTTATTAATTATTATTTAATTAGAAGCCCAATAAGGAAGGCATGTGGCATTATTAACGATGGTAAAGTTTTGTTGTTTATGTGATATTTGCTTTTAAAATAGTGTCTGCTAGCCAGGACAAGGAAGAGAGTGTGGTCAGGAAGGATGGAAAAATCAAGGGAAAGAAAAACTGGAACTATAATGAGAGACATTTATCTATCATTTCAGTTAATTGTGAAAATAAGGTCAATTGAGAAAAGCAGTCATAGGCTGGGATTTGGAATTACACTAGCTCAATGTCTCCTGTTATTATAAGTGGATATTTCATGTGTGTTATAGCATCATTTTTACTTTTAAATCTTGAGGTTAAGTTCAGAAATGTTAATAAATATTGCACATCTATTTCACCATAAAAAGACAAAACAGAATAGATTCTTGTTCCTGGTCTCTGAAAACAAACTCAGTGTTGTTCAGCTCCATAAGACACATCTAAAGAAAGGTTTCAAGAAAAAAACATGTTCACTCAGAATTGTGCGTCTTGTGAAAATATCCTTCAGGAATCAAGCAAAACAAAATCAGTTTCAAACCTGTGAAAATTGTAAGACTTTGATGTCAACAGATGTGCTCTAAAAGGCCCAGTAAAGGAAATCTTCAGATAGAAGGAAACCTGGACAGCTAGGAATGAGGAAAGGGCAATGGTATGGTGAATAGAATAGATTATTCTTCTCCTCACAAGTTCTTTAAATATGTGTTTGATTGTTAAAAGCAAAAACGAGAAAAGTAGGCAGTTTTCAAAATGTGCAGCTGTAATATGTAAAAATTACATATTTACATGATAAGGGAGACTACAGGGTGGCAAGGTTTTTACATTCCACGTGTAGAAGTAAATAGTAGTTCTATGTAGAACTTTAGAATCTAAGTATGTGTATTATGATCCCTAGAATACTGGGTGAGATACAATTAAAACACACTCAAATATTAAAGTTAAGCATTAAACATGTGTAAGTATGAAATGGCTTGCCTTGGGTAAAAAAAGCATCCCATACCCTAGGTGACTTTAACTCACATCTTCTGATTTCAACGTCAGATGGCAATTCTTATGTATAAGGAAATGAACCTAATCTACCTCGCATCTGAGAATAAAAGGTTACTTTCTTGACAACATTAAGGTTTCTGTTTTTGCTTTTTTGTTTTATTTGTTACCTGAACACAGGACAATGCAATAGACTGAAATGACTGAACAAGAAATTGTAAGGAAATGTTTCTGGTCAGGCACAGCCCTCATGCACATAGCAGTGATTTTCCAGGTGTGTGCTAAGCGGTGCTTTCATGGAGGAAATGGGAAGAGGGGTGGCTCCGATCAGAGACTGATGGCAGTGAGAAGCAGGGTAGTGAATTGCCAACTGTGGGCAACTTATTCCACCCAGCTGAACTGAACGAGTGAGGTGTGGGGTGTGGGAGGCCCACCTGAAGATTATTGCTTGAGACATAAGAGGCAGAATGGGAGAACAGTAAGGCTGGCAGAGAAACTGTTGGGTGTTGTCAGAAGCTGGAAGGAACTGTTGGTTCCCTTGGAGGGCCCTGTGATGCTGGGTTTCCTGGTGAACTTGGTTGTTTTCCTTGAAGGCGGCGCTCAGAACCTTGTCACTGAGAGTGGCTACTGTTCACTTGAGCACTGCTCCTGGCTTCAGAGGGGAAGATGGTGCACTGCTCAGTCTCCTGGAGAACCTTGTTGCACTGGCTTTCCTGATGGGAACTTGGGGCTTTTCCTCCTCATCAGTGGAGCTTGAGACCTCACTGTTGCTAAGTACTTTCTGGGGGAGCTCTGGTGCTTACATGGAGCATTGCTTTCTTTTTTATGAATTTCATTGAGAAACAAATAGCAATGAGACAGTTTCAAAACTGATTAGCAGGACAGTTTCAATAATTAATACATTGCATATTGTCTTCATAGTGGTTGTTCATAGTACAAGATGCAGACATGATATCCTGTCCAAACACTATTAGCACAAATTTTTTTCTCATTGAATTAACAGAAAGTAGCTGTATATCTATCCTAACTATTTTGTTTATACAGATACAAAATGGTCATTTGTTTGTACCCACTTTTTTGTTTAGTTTCATCGGAGATGGGTATTTCCTTGCCATTTAAAAATTTTAGGTGCATGAATTCAGCAAAATAATCCAATAGGGTCCAGTAGTCCATAATAGTAGTGGGTTATCCATAGGACTGGCAATGCCAGAAGTGGTTGACTTGAGCCTTTTACAGCTCAGCATATTAATATGGCTTTACTTTTTGTACCTTGTTTTTAAACTTTTCTGCTGGATGGTTAAGATCAAGATAAAGCAAGACCTATATAACAAGAACTGCAACTTTTGTATCTGAGGGCAGTCAAATCCCCTCAGGATTTACCCTGACCCTGTACCATAGTTTGTAGATCTTTTGTCAGTGTCAGCCATATGGATGAGTCACAGCAATTACTTGACCATTTTGCTCTCTATCTAAGCCTGAGAGAATGTTTTCTCTCCATGTGACTCTCCTTAGGTACACTCTACATCATCGATCACTTTCCTCTGTGGCCGCATAATCTCCTTGATCAGAAAATTCAGGACACAACTGAGTTACATGATGTTGCAGCACAGGTTCTCTTATGTCCTGAGTCCTCACTGACCTTGAAAGGCTAGGGCCAAAATGTTGGCTGTCCTTGCAGCCCTTTTTTTTTCTCTAATTTTTGGTGTGCAAACTTAAGTTGTGAACCATCCTGAATAGAAGATTAATGATATAATTACCCTATAACATAGGCAGTTGAGCTTAATCTCACTATCTGTCTGAACGTCAAACATCTTAGACATAACATGGAACAGGTATTTTCCATCAAGTATTAATATGTTAAACTTTAAATCCCTCCAGAATGTGCAGAAAAAAAGAAAAAATAATAAAAAATATTTTAAAAATAGGAATAGACAATTACATATTTTTACACAGAAATTTAGAAATCTAACCATGTACAATAAACAGTGGTTAGATGCCACAAAGTAGGTGGCAATGTCTTAACCTTGTGTGTGTTGTCAGGCTAGAGGGCCTCTTCTATCCATGTCAAGGGGAGTGCTTACCTTCTCTCCTTTCATATGAGCATTGCTTTCTTTTCTTTTCTTTTTCTTTCTTTCTTGCTTTTTCTTTTTTTTGGGGGGTGGGGGGTGGGGGAGGTACCAGGGATTGAACTTAGGGTATTGTGCTTGCCAGGCAGGTGCTTATTCTTCTGAGCTATCTCCCCGGCCCCTAGCATTGCTTTCTGACTCCAGTGCAGATCCCTCAGCCTACTAGCACAGATCCTTCATCCTGATTGCACAGACTTTCTAGCTTCCACCACTGACCTTTGGGCCTTACCAGGGCAGATTTGTGAGACATCTGCACAAGACATTGTTGTGGCCCTAGGCCTCCAGTTGGCCTTGTGAGGAGCACTGTTATGGGTTCTAGGTTTTCATCTGGACTCATGCAGGATATTAGGATCCAGGTCCTCAACTGTATCTTTGATCTTTAGTGTGTGGACAGATTTCCTGTACTTTTTTGGTATGTGATTCCTTGGGGGATTCATTATAAAATAATCTTATAACCATTTTGTGTTCTTGATTTTTTTTTAGAACTGGGGATTGAACTCAGGCCCTTGCGCTTGCCGGAGAAGGATTTATTCCACTGAGGCATCTCCCTGGCCCCTATTTTGTGTTCTTTAAGAAAATATATAAAATAATCTTACCAAGTATGTCCTATATTGTGTGGTTACCCTTTCAAAACCCCAAAACTATGACAAACAGTAACCATTATTTGGAAGGAAATGTGCCTAAAGTAACTATATTTGCAAAAGGGATACACTGCATGCATTCTTTTTTTTTTGGCAGAACTGGGGATTGAACTCAGATCCTTGTGCTTGCCAGGGAAGCACTTATTCTACTGAGCCATCTCCCCAGCCCCATGCATTCTTTATTGATAAAGAAATGTTGGTAGTTTTGACCCAAGTAAATGAAATGTCTGGAAGGAGATGAAGATTTAGGAATGATGGGCTCACTCTGAGTTCTCAAGGGGGAATCACCAAAGAGAAGATGACTTTTGTGTCATATGAGGTCAGAATGGACACCATATCTGGCTCCGCTGTGGCTTCCTGGGAGTTGCCATTACAAATCTGGTTTTCTGAATTGGTCTTACTTATCCTTGTGTACTTCAGATGAATAGAGTGCTTCAAATACACCAGGTACTCAATAAGTGCTTGCTGAGTAAGTTGATAACATGGGCTTCATCAGCTCTATCAGGCCATAGAAGGAACTGTTGTACTGGTTGAGAAGATGCCTCTCTGATGGTATTTTAACTCCAGGCTAAGAAGTCACTTACTGCGACTGATGTGAGCAGAGGCAACATTGGCTTCACCTGTTGCTTCTTCTCTGGGAGAACTGAGGCAAGCCCTGGGGAGTTTGGACCTTGCATGCCAGCATCTGAGCAGACTCTTTATACTGTGGTTGTAGTAGGACCCATCATTATTTGGAGGCATAGGAAGCATGTTTTTGGAAAATCATAACCAAAGAAGCTAACATCATAGTGTTAGCTCGAGAGAAACACCATCAAAGATCCCAAAGCATGGGGTGAGAAGTATTGTGCAGGTTCTGAAGTCAGAAATGGGTAGAAAATGTGATGTGAGTCAGGATAAAAGTGAGATACATATGCACTATCTGTGAGCGTGACCCCCAATTTATCTGTAAGTGCACTATGTCCTGCAGTGGGACAGAGGTTGTCCCTGGAAGCTCTTCAGACTGACCAAGTCTCCTGTTCTAAGGAGCACGGGGCCCCATGTAGTAGGCTGGAAGCCTCTGTCCCTGCAGTGCTCGCATGGGCTGTGGCATTAGAAAAATGCATGTTTTTATAAATAGCCAATAAGTACACAAAGAAGCGTTCAACAATGCCGGCCATTATAGAAATGCAAATTATGCCAACACTTAGATTTTATCTCACCCCAGAAAAAATGGCCATCACTAAGAAATAAGTAACAAATGCTGGCAGGGCTGTGGGAAAAAGGAATGCTTCTGCACCGTTGCTGGGAACGAAAACTAGTACGGCCACTGTGGAAAACAGTGTGGATGATCCTCAGAAACCAAAAGTAGACATGTTGTTAAGCCCAGCTAGTCCCCTTCTGGTTATCTTGATGAAAGGGTTCATGGCACCACATTGCAGAAAGACACCCCTGCTCATGTTCACAGCCGCATAAGTCCCAGCTGAATCTGGGAAGTAGGCTATGGCAAAAAGAGGGATGTGTGCACAATGAATACTACTTTGCCTTAAAGAAAGACAGCTTTGAGCTGTTTGTAGGAAAATGAATGTACCTTGACACCAAAATGTTAAGTAAACTGGACATACAAGCTTAAATATTGCACGGATTCTTTTATGTGATAAACCTCAATTATAAATGAAGAACAAAATGAGAGACAACTAATAGGATGATGGGAGATAGACTTTTCTCAAATGGGAAAGAAATCAAGAGATGGAGGGGAAAGGGATAAAAAAGGAAGTAAGATGTGTTATACCCATGAATCAACTCCACCCAAGGAGAGAAAACATTATGTATGAAAAACATGTACTCATCAGGCCAGCCAAATAGTCCAGTGGATTAAAGTGCCTGGAAGCAGGTGCAGGGGCTGGGGATTAGTTCCCCAGGCCTGAAATGCCAGCCCTTCTCCCCAGGGCATGCTGAGACAGCAATTGAGACTGGGGTGGTGGCACACGCTTGTAATCCCAGCTCTTGGGAGGTTGTAAACAGGTGGACCACTACAAGTCTGATATAGTAGCGAGCCCCTGAACACCCTGTAGACCCTTCCCTAAAATACAAAATAAATAAAATAAATAAATAAATAAAAATAAAATGAAAGAAAGAAAAAAAAAAGAAAACAACATGTACTAATAAAAAATGGTATGGAATAAATTTGTCATATATTACAAGTGTATGACAGTAGGCCACTAGAGACTCTGGAGCCAGGCTGCTCCAGATGGATTCACTCTGTCTTTTTGTAGTGCTGTGCACTTTGGTAAGTTATGTCATTGTCCTCGGAGACAGAGATAATGGTACTTTTAGGGTTTTTAAAGAATTATCTGAGTTAATGTGTGAAAAGTGATCAGCAGTGAATACTCAGTAAGTGGTAGCCATTGCCATTATAAATTCAAGGTATTTTGGAAAGAAAAAGAAATGCATCTTCTCACTCTGGCTCTGCTCCTTCTCAGCTCTGTGGCTACCAACAAATGACCCGAGACCCAGCCATCAGATTACTGGAATAGGTAAAATAACATGTGAAGGTTTAGCATGCCCTTGACATGTAATAAGTGCTTAACATATATTTGATATTTGGTGTTCACTGATTTGATATCAGTGTTATTATGTGCATTGTCTAGACATTCAGAAAAATGTAGAAGGTTGAAATGTGCCAGAGAAGCAAAGAAAACTACTGGAGGATGTGAGACGAAAATGCAGAAGGCTTTGGCCCATCCCTCTGGAAGGAGCAGCCTGTTTGATCCAGAACAGCCCCTCAGAGCCTGTGGACTCATACGCTTTGGTATGAGGGATATGTGGATCCAGGTGGAAATAAGTGATGGAGAAGATGGACACCTCGTGGAGAGGGGAAGGGGGTCCTGGCATTTTATCTGGATAACCACCAGTGCCACCTGACTACTGCACATCTTGGACTACCAAGAGCCTGAAACGCTGGCTCCTGTTCACCCAGAACCCTTGTCTCCTGGTTGGGCTGATTTTGTTTTCCTACTATAAGAGAGAAGCCCATGAAGCCAAGGGCCCTTTGCCAAGAGATGCAAGAATGGCTGGTGACAAGAAACCAGACTCCCGCAATTAAATACAGCACACAAACCATCTACAAGGTGTTCAGTGCATAATGTTGAATAAACAATCACTGAGCGAATTTGTTTCATGGGAAGGAAAACTTGGGAGGAGGGAGAAGACAAAAAAAAAAAGAAGGGGGAATATATATATATATATATATATATATATATATATATTAGTTTGGATAATTGTACTGCCAGTTTCTGCTGGTATTTTGAAAAGAGCAGTTAATGCTTAACATTTTTTTCTCTTGAATTTCATGTAACTTTTTGTTATTATTTTCTTTCTTTCTTTCTTTCTTTCTTTCTTTCTTTCTTTCTTTCTTTCTTTCTTTCTTTCTTTCTTTCTTTCTTTATTTGTTTCAGGTTTCACTATACAGCTCAGACTTTGTAGTGATCCTCCTGTTTTCCTCCTCCCCAGCACTGGGATTACAGACATGCACCACCACTCCCGGACTTGGTGGCTGGTTCAGGATGCCTGGGGGTGGGGCTGGCATGGCTTGTGGTGCCAGAGATCGAATCCTGGTCCCAGCGCTCACCTAAGCAGGAGCTTAGGTCACTGAGTTGTCTTGCTGGCCATGTTTTGTTTTTTCTTTAAACCAATCTTGCACATTTATATCTGGTAACCTAAACAACTAATTTGAAGATAACATCATGCAATACAACAGCCATTGTTGAATTCCTATTACTTTGTTTAGTGAACTTTTGTCTCATTTCTATGCTATTTTTTTCTATTACATTCTGTATTCTTTAAAAAACAGTCACCAAATGAGTAAAAGGCAGCTCTGGATTAGAAATGACAATAAATCTACAACAGTAGCATGGCACGGGTTCCAGATAAACTAGACTTGTAAGAGGACAAACACCCCAGGGACGCAGGTCCTAACTTGTCCACCCTTGAGATATATGGCACATCCTAGCTGTAAACCAAGTTTGCCCCAGTGCACAGATGGCCGCCACGCTGTGTAGAAGATGGGCTGGAGCGCCTTGGTGCACGCACAGTTTCCTTTGGAGCCGCAGAAAGGACCTTTCACTTTCCCAAAATTAGGCAGGCAAAGCTACATTCCTGCTTTGTATCACTTTTACCCGAATGAACTGAACTGAGGGTTTAGGAGTTAAATTCTCCTCTGTGGCTCTTTCGATCCCCCTAGAATAGAGCTCTAAAAGGAGACAGACAGCTGTTTCAGAGAAGCTGGAGGCAATAATCAGCCAACATTGCTTACCAAAGCACAAAGCTCTTGGGAACACAAGGCACTATTCAAATTAGC